TGCTCTATCTCTCTCCATCAGTTCTCCACTATATTGCTCTGTGGTTCTGTTCCTCTCTCAGTCGCAGTCCTGCCCTCTTTCTTCCTTTTTTTTCTTGATTCATTCCATCATAACTTCTGCCTTTATGCACAAGAACTGCCAGCTCATTAAAAAACAAACAAACAAAAAAACCACTGGTAAACTGGCAAGAACCCGAGCAAATTCAAGCCTGGGGGAATAAAAAGACATTACAGCCGTGCCCAGCCTGAGCTTGGCAGGTTGGGTCAGGCCCAGTCGAGCTCAGGCAGGGAATCAGAGCTCTAATTCCTTTGTGTTGAAAGCAAAAAGATGTGAAGATAGAAAACAAAGTGCCTGTTCACACCTGGCATTAACATCGAAACAGTGATCGGAACACAAGTGGACAGCCAAGGCACGTTACCATTCACACCTGTGTCTATCATGCATCTGCAGCTGACCACTTGTGTTTAAATTTCCTTACTGCCTACGTCACTTATGCAAGAAGGTCAAAGGGCTCCATGCTCAGTTATTATGTCCACACTCTTGCTAGGTACTCACTTATCACATTAGCAGCTGTGTCCGTACAGCTGGTGATGTCGCTGTCAGCAGAATTTAACACATCTCCTTCCACAGGGCAAAGTGATGGATGGTCACCTAGCACTTCATCCAACTCACTGTAAAATGGGCAAGTTAAAGAGAGAGAAACCGTCACCAAAACAACGTCTGGCACTGATGATGTAGTCCTCATTGGGCACACATCAGAGCGCAGTAGTGTTTCCACTACAAAAGATGTGTTCACATATTTCCCAGGCTACCTCAGCAAGTGGTTTAAGTGATGAGATCACAATGTGTCTCGGTGGTCGTTTACACTTGTATGAAGCGCCGTATTTGTATGTATTTGTCCTGGAACATTAGCAAAAATTCTGTTTCTTGTGGGAAAGATACATTTTATTTAAAAGTATCTCAGAAAACTGGAAAACCCAAACATCATCGTGGTCAGCTGTTATCTTGCACATGCAGTGACATCAGTGAAGATGACATGAAGACGGTCAAACCGGTCCTGTCAACAGCATTGACACCACAATATTACTCCAGAAACATCAAATCAAAATCATACTTAATGATAACAAACTGCTTCTGTTCTGTTTAATCCAGTACTGTTGTTTTGTTTTGTTTTTCTCCCTCTAGCTGAAAAGGAAGACAAAAGTGAGAAAGCGACTAACCAAGGCCCTCAGTTTACCAGTGGTGTCATCATGAAGATCACAGACAACAAGCCGCTACCAGGGAGGAAGTTCATCAAAGTACAGTATAACTCAAAAATCATCATCATTTGTATTTGGTTTCAAATCATACAAAAATGACATTCTAATGTTCAAGTCGAGGCAGGTTTTAGTTCCTAATCCAGTGTGTACATTTTCATGTCTTAAATAATTTCCATGACTCTTAATTAGATGATGGACTCTCTGTTGTTTGGATGTTCACATTTCTGAAACCCCTTTTTGATAATTAATTTGCTGTGATGGTATAAGAGATGAATGAAGGTGAATTTGCCTCCAAAGGAAAATAATAATGCAGGTTTTTAGAAAAAAAATACTGTTACATGTACCAAGCAAGCAGCATTGGACAGTTCGGTGTATGTTACAGATAACTAATTGCTAAAAATGGAACCTTTGTGATATTTAAGAACGTAGGGATCACCAACAGCTCTTCCCCGAAAGCTTGAGTCTGTTCCTCCTTCAAGGTGAAGTTAATAGCAAAGATCTCCCATTAGCACAGGTCCTTTAAAAAGTCTTAAATTCAGTTTTCTAAGTGTCTGGCCTTAAACATCATTGTCTTATATTTGAATTTGTGAGGTCCCAAACATTTTATCTAATTTTATTTATCCATCTAGTCAAAATAAATCAAGGTCTTCTGTGTGAAAGTCCACAATTCTGATGTTCCGAATCTTTAAATCTACCACTTAACCTAAAACTGTCTTTGGACTTTATACTTGCACCTACCTGTCAGCAAAATGTAGATTAATGATACATGCGCTAATAACCATATTCATACACAAAACATACCTCTGCATGGGACTCCATACACTTACCTGTAATGCTAAAATGAGAAAATGAGGATTTGTCCAGAAATCAGTCTTAAATTTGGTTTAAAATGATCCTGAAAAGGTCTTAAAAAGCATAAGATTGAAGTGTCTGATACTAGCAGACACCCTGTACCAAGTGAGGCAATTGTGCTACTTTATCTGTGCTTGTTTGTGTATTATTTTATGTAGGATGCTCTGAGCAAAATATCCCCAGTGGCATACATTGACACCTTGGAAGGAGATGCTGAGGGTCACATCCGCTTTCACACCCCCGAGGAAGCTCAAGCCGTTAGCGACGCCAGCGCAGAGATACAGAAGGAGCACAGCTGGAAGCTTGAGATTCTCTCAGGTATCATTTTTACTTCCTTTGTTCAAAGCAGAAGCATTTGTTCACACCCTGTGTGCACCTCTAATCCCCTCCAGTTGAGGACAGGATGTGGATGACTGAGCAGGTTTTTATAATTGATGATTGCGGAAATAATTTATTGGGAAAGCGCCAGTCAGCTCGTCTCATGTTCTGTGTTTTTCCAAAAGTGTTCTTAAGAATTGTTGGTTGACATTTGAGTCATGAGTAGTGATAGTAAATTGTGTGTAATGGGTTTTTAAAGGTGACAGTGAACAGAGGTACTGGCAGAAGATCCTAGTGGACCGCCAAGTGAAGCTGAATCGTCCGAGAGAAAAGAAGCGCGGTACAGAGAAGGTGAGATTCCCCTTTACATTTTTAAATACATACATGTTACCATACATAGCATGTTTTATTGATAAGTTATTCTATTCTGAGCATGTCGACTAGATGTTCACAGTACTTTGTATCAGTTATTGGCAAAATTATGAGAGATCCAAATGTGACTTCATATACACGGTTTCATATAAAAGTGTTCAATGTGCAGTAAAAAAAAAAGCATTTGTGAAACTAGGATTCATTTTCTGTAAGCAGCTTATCCAGCCAAATCCATTTTTGGATATAATACCTGGAATAATACACATGCACAGTCACATACAATCACCATAGTTCAACCAGTGCCTCCAAGAGTCCTGCACAGGTCTGATTTTCACGACCCAAACAGGAACTGTGGCGTGAAATACAGCACCTGCTTTGACACCTGCACATATGACAAGTCGGTTCCTCAAACTGACCCAACTTGCTGACAAAAAAATCTGCAGCCCCACCTGAAACCACAAGTCCTATTCAATTCAAATAAACACAAGAAGTTTGTGCTCTAGAGAAAGGATCAGCACTCAGTGAAAAACCTCCTAAGCCCTATGATAAGCTAATATGGCAAGGCTTAACTATACAGACCAGTGAGCAGTGATAACTAATATGTCTTTGGGGTCATTAGATGGCTGCTCTCCGCACCAACCCAGTAACCTCCTTTACCTTACTTAGGCATGGCTTTCTCAGCCCAAACAGCACTGCCACCTTCAACCAAACCCAGGCTCCGTACATGCGAGCTCCAGGTAGAAACAGTGCTGATACTACCAACTACCTATAATAACCATGCGCTGTTCAAATTATTCAGTGAGGCAGCACGTTTAAAGTGATCTTTTTGGGACATTTAGGACATGTGAAACTATGATAATGTTTTTTAAATGGTAATTCAGGAAATACAGTTTGAATGAATATGTTTTTGCAACACGTCTCCACAGTTAATGTGACTGTTATCAACGCATCTCATTAAAGTGGCTCCTATATTCCAGCTTTTGCAAAAGACAGAGCCTACACACAGTCAGCAGTCAGAGAAGGATATAAAATGTCATGATATTAAATTAAATAATCATTATTCTATTTTATTTTGACATATTTGTCTTCCAACACTTTGAATCTAACACACTTGCTCTATTTTTCATCCAGAACTGAACTCAAAAATAAAATTAAAACAAAATACCACCCATGAATCACCTTTTTGTGCTTCACCTGCCACGTACCTGCAGATTAACATATCCTATCTTATTTCTTTTCTCCCTGTCACACTCCAGCTCATATCCAAAGCTGAGAAAATCATTCTGGCCCGGGCCAAGGAGGCTCACAAGCACATTCGTTTTCAAGACGACTGATAGCTGCTGAAACTATTTTTTTGACAACTACACGTTTAACTGTGTAGACTTTACATGATGTGATTTGAAGGGGACAGTTGGTGTTAGCACGTACTTAGCTGGAAGAGAACTGAAAGGAAACTTGAGTCAGAGTAAACTAATTAAAAATGTCCCCTTGATTTTTGTTTGCACTGGAGCGCCCAAGATTATGCAGACGGCTGCTGAGCATGTAGAGAGTTTGGCAACATTTTTTTAATTGAACCCCCCTCCTTTTTTTTTTTTTTTTTTTCAATAAATAAAGATTCTGTATCTGATGTAAATATGGCTGATTTAAATGTTCTCCCAGTGAAGACGTGGACAAGTTGTGGCATTTCCTTTTGAGGATATTTGCCTTTTTGTTTTTTAATAAAATGTCATTTGATTTTTTTCAGTACTTGTTGTTTGCTATTTATGACACATTTGTGCTTTTTATGAAGTTTGTGTGAGAGTTAAAAATGCTTTTCATTACAGGAATAATGGGCGTCAACCCTCATGTACTCTACCCAAAGGAATTGTAGTTCAGAGGGAGTGTTCACCCCAAATAAAAACTCAAATATTGGGTCCAAATTCTGGTTTTGCAGCCTCTGGAGAGTCACAGGCTTGCAAGTGCATTGGCTGTAAAATGATTTAAACACTGGATATATGTTGTAATGGACCACATTTAAATGTCTAACTTATGAGAACTTGTTTCCCAAATGGAATATGAATTCCTTTCAGTTAAGTAGCTTACATAACACTCAAAATGAGTTGTGCTGAAGAGTATCAGTGAGACGCTTAATAGTATAAAAAGAGCTGCCATTGCATAATCTCATTTCCATTTATGGCTTTTATTTGTATGATGGTTGAAACGACCTGAGGTAATGTGTGGCAGCGCCACATCTCGTCATCAGCTTGGTCTCTAGGAAACCTCAGCTTGTGCTAGAAACCAAGCAGCTGATGATTTGGTGGTCCTGAGAGGGCTCTTCGCAAATGCCACCGTCGGCCCAAGTGACCCCTCTGTCCAAAGAGGTGGTCCAGTGCGTCCTGGATTCTCTTGTCCCAGTGGAGATGCATTCTAAGCTGCAGAACATACCATGCTCAACAAGACGTTGGGGTGTCTGGGTGGCGTTACAGCAGCAGTTACAGGCTGCAGTCTGATTCAGTGTGGGATGGCTAAAAGGCTTCGGGTTTGTTGTGCAGCTCTCAGTGGGCTTAGGTGTGCCCACTGGAAAGGTAATTTTCCTTGCCCAATCCGACTGTTTTTTACCAACAATGGGGAGGCACTGTGCCACGTTCCAAGCTTTGTAGTCCTCCTTCATGGTAGTCGTCGCTTCAAAGGGCTCATTGCTTTTCTCTGTTGGTTGCATAGATGGCAGGAAGGGTTTGGTGCGCTCACACTTGTGTGCCGTGTAGTCTGCATGTGTTGTGGAGAGGAAGTCGTCTGCCGGTGGACTGAATTCTTTGGTTTTACCTTGGCCATGGAACTTGGTTTCAAGGGACCAGGTCTTGAATTTCTGAAAGATCTCACTGGTTTGGTCAAAAAGTTCTTGGTTTATGTCCAAAGCCACCTTTGGCTTCAAGGACATAGCAGGCGCTGACAGCAGACCTTTGGTGTGGTAGACAGGCTTCTCAGTGCGTCTCCTGGGCTGCAGTGGATGTGTGACATAATCCAATCTGTAGCTGGTGACGCTGTCAAAAGGTTGTGGTTCTTGCACCTGTGGGACTGGTTTGGAATTAGCTGCAACTTGAACAGACTTTTTCTGGGGGCGACCTTCTTTGGAAACATTGTTTGTGACAACTAATCCTTGGTTGACTTTCAAGCTGTCACACAGCTTATATGGCTGAAGCTTATTTATGTTCCAGGCTTGGAAGTCATCTGAAAAGAGGAGACAGGGAGAGTGGATATGGATATTTTTAGTTTAGTTTTAATTTCTGCAATGTGAAGACTCTACTGATTTTCAAATTGCTTACTTCTGTACACTGATGTGTAGTCCTCTGCATTGGATGCCGTCTGGTTCACTGCAAAGCACACTGGATTGTGTGGATCGCTGCTGCATCTCCGGTGGTCTTTGGGTGGTAAAGATGGCTGTGGGTCCTTAGGTGGATGTTTTATCCATTTGCGGGTCACATAGAAAGCTCTGAAACACAAGTGAGTGATGTAAGCTTTGACAATTTTTGCTTCAGAAATTTTTCTTTACAGGTGACTTTTTAAAAAAACACTTCTAATCTCCCAAATTGTGGGTGTGCTTTGTAAATAATGCCAGTGTATTTGTTGTCAAAAAGAAAGTTTCCTACATTTCCCAGAGTAACTTCCACCACCTCACCTGTGGCAGCTTAGACATGCCTCACCTACTATCAATCCTCAAAGGTGGAGGTTAAAAAGTGAAGTTCTGGCCAAAGATCTTACCTGTAAGTGGTTGTATCGGCGCTTGTCCCCTTCAGTGGATGGTAAGGGTCTTTCCGTGTTGCGCTTGTGACAACAGTCTTGTGGCAGTGCGGAGGAAGGAACCGCTCCTGGTACTCTGTGGTCATGTAGGCCTGTGTCTCAGCTCTCTGAGAGCTGGAGGGCTTCCTGGACATCAAGGTAAATTTATTTGTTTAACACTGAAGACAACAAGGCAAATATGACTTAACCTATACAAGACATACAAGGCATTAAGAAGTGTAAAAGAAACAACACAATGTAAAAAGCCTCAAATACATTATGAGTAAAATGAAATGGAAGTTATTGTCAGATAAGATCATGGATGGATTACTCTACAGGCCTGCTGGGCACAAAGTATCAAGGCCCCTTCAGTATTCAAATTACAAACCAGAAGAGACTTAAAATGACAGCAGAAGCCCTGTTTCCATGGAGCAGTATGGTACAGTTCAGTTCAGTTCGATACGCTTTTTTTTCTGTTTCCACTGTGAAAAGTTGTGGATGGTACCAATGGAACCGTTCTGTACTGTCCCCATTTTTGGTCCCCCCTCTGTTGGGGTACCTAGCACACAGATCTGTCAATAGCAGATGGTCACTCTGCTCAGGGCTGAGTTGTGGCTGGATTTGAGGCTTATGTAACCACTACTCATACCGTGGAGAGTTTTACATATATTAGAAGACTGTAATTATAAAATGAAAGGATGTTTTGCTGCCTCTTGCAGCAGCTGTAGTCACAGAAAAAAGTAACATTTCACTGGGCCAACTGCCGGCAACTTTTAAAGTGGAACATTTGCTTGAAATGTTACTGAATGTATGAGTTGATGATGTGAATCCATCAGCACGCCTTAAATTTCATTATACAACAGTTAGTTCAGGCTAAGTAATTTGAGTGGACGAGAGCCATTCCTTGAGTGCTAATATAAAGTATCACTGGGACATGTAAAAGTAAAATCACTCCGCTCACAGGTGTTATAAATATAAATACAACCGTCAAGCTGTCACACTCAATACATTGACGCAAACTGACACTGTAGCGTTACACCAAGAAGATGGATATTTTCCCCAAAATTACATTTGAATTAAATTATGAGTGGTCGTCAGGAGAGGACGAGGAAAAGGAAAGCCGGGACTCTTCTGTGCAGACCTCCAGGTGTGTTTGAATCAGGTTTGCCAACATCCAGGTTTGCCAACGTTTCATCAGCCGAAATGGACGAAGTTACACAGTTGCAGATCAATGTAAATACAAAGTAGCTTGTGAGTTCCTGGTGTGTGTGCTGTGTTGCCTGGCAACAGACTGGGGGAACTGTTTTTTTTTTTTTTTTTTCGTGGCGCTACATAACATACTTAAATAATTTCATCACCTTTTGTTAACATTTCCTTACTCAGCATTGCTGTATAAGCTGTTGTTGAACTGTTGTATAAAAGCAATATCACACGAGAGGGAGTGATGTTGTAGGCTACTGTATATCGTCACGGCTGTGATTTGGTCATAGGCACCAGGCCGCAGTATCTTTAAGTGTTTAAAACTGCATACATGCCAATCCTCACTTGAAGAAAAAGAAAGCATTGTGGAGCGCTGTTCCTGTGGGCTACAGCAACACTAAACTCCAGTGCTTGCCTGAGAAGGACTAGATGCACAAAACCTGCTATTTTTAAATATTGCATTGAGGGAGTCTCTCACTGCAGCCTATTTTCTTCTGAAAATGTTGGCGTGCAAACCCATTCTGAGGACGATAAACAATGTGCAGACTGATATAGGAGGAAATACTGCGAGTGCTGGATGGAGCAGTGAGTGACAACAACCCCACCTACATGAAAGAGTACTATTTGCAGTGGAAACGCCAGTGTCTGGTACCATGTCTGAAGGGTTACTTTTGGTTCCAAAGGTACCAACCCCAAGAGACATATAACAACCAACAAAGACACAAAACCACAGAAAGGCATTCACTGACTGAAGAGAGACGCAACACAACAAAAACAGGGTACACCATCACAAAGTCTGGGTGCCTTGCTCCTGTGTAGGGGAGGTGGTGGGGCCCACCTATCTATCTGTGCCCAGGGGCCCATTGTCTCATGGGTAAAATAACATGTTCAGCATTTTAGGTGCTGAAGTTAGCACCTTAGAGATAATCACATAGCATATATTGTTGATTTAAAACCTATATATAACAATAATTGTACAAGCACAAGTTGTGCAACTGCAGGTCAGTTAATATCATAGCAAGTAATGTCAATTTTTAATAAAAATACAGGCAGGTCACGAGCTAAACAAAATTGCTATCTGTCCATAAATAAAGCATCATGAACAGGTCCCCTCACCTCATAGATGTGGCTTGCTGATTCCCGTTATGCTGAGTATGTTGCTGCCTCATGGTTTCAGGGTGCTCCGCTCGCCAGGCGCTGCACCGGGTGCGCTTTTTTGCGTCCTGTGCCTCGGAGTTGTTGCAGCCTGCTCTGTGACTCTGTGCTGGAGGCCTACCGCATATGAATTATTGACCGGAGGGACACGGGGTGTGTGTGTGTGTGTGTGTGTGTGCGTGTGTGTGTGTGTTGAACGAGAGAAGCACGCAGCGGCCGAGAGCATCTAAAAATAAACACCAGTGGATTACTCTGTGATGCAGGCCGGTTGTCAAGGCGAGGACGCTGCGAGTGATGATGCGCTTTTTGGCGCGTAAAGAGGATTCCAAAGCTCCTGTAGTTAGGTTCTATAAAGTGGAGGAGCCACTTCTGATAAAGATGCAAAGTGCTCCATCAACATGTGAGATTATGTTGCTTTTTAAAGCGTTTTTTTCCTCATGTTTTAATATGCTGAATATGCAAAGTGCAGGTTGGGTCGTGCATTTTTGCAACGTGACTTGAACGCGGGACTCCATCTGTCACTTTGCAGTCAGGTCCAAAAAAAGACAGAGGGTGGATATAAACACGTGCACACACAAACACACGCACAATGGAGAGTAAAGGAAATTGTGAAAACGTGAATTACCATTTTTGCACATGAATGCAGCCGTGGAATATGCAACATAGCCTACAAATAATAAATTATAGATTATGGAATCGACAACATCATGGACAGTTCCGTGTTTGTCCACTAGATGGCGCCAAAAGCTTTAAAAACACACAGACTATTCGCTCCACATTGGATTATAGGAATTTTACTTTGGAGTCCTTTCTTTGGCACCTGCATTGAAAGAAATGATATATTGTGGAATGTAGAGAAACAAAATATTAATTTGGAGTAAAATCAGAATATAGTCGAGTTATAATGAGTTTGCAAATTCGTTTTTTATTTGCAAATAGCCTCTACAACAGTGTATAAGGAGAGGAGAAATTAAACAGATGTGACAGAAGAGGTCAAGAGGCCTTATACCTTATACACTGGACCTCCACTTAACTTAAGAAAATATATAAAAGATGATTTTGCAAAATACATATAAATACAAAAAAAAAAAAAATCAAATAAACAAAACAGGAAGAAAAAAGAAAAAATGGGCATGATGAATTAAATGTGACAATTTCCTTTTCAAAAGATAGCAAACTCTTGATAATGTGTACTTTGGCATTTCATATTTACACACCATGACTTTGGAGGGGATACCAGCCATGCCTGGTTGTACAAAAAGGAGGGTGATGATGCTCTTTGGTAGTCCTTAGTCACAATGTTAGATAATTCTTATAGAGTTGTAGTGTTGCTTGGGTGGAAGCGTCTCAGAAGCAACATTCAGACCCTGACATACCTGCAGCCTCCATAGATTTTCAGTTACAGGAGACTTTTTGACATTTTAGCACTATAAATGAATGAAGTAATTCATTCTAATGAACTGTGAACATAGCTCTTTGATGAATACCTCTTTAAAGTAATTGGGTCTCATTTATAGTTTGTATAGTCAAATAGAAATACAATACTCTCAGAAAGCTCCTAACTCTTCCAAAATACTTTTAGTAAGGAGTCTTAGCTTAGGAGTGATTTAGAAAAGTTTCCAGAGCAAACTTTTACCTTAGTTAGGCGGTATGGTTTGCCCTGTTTCAAGGTGTGATGCTTGCTTTTAACAGGTGTGAATGGTTGTCAGAGACAGGCCCTTTATTGAGCCTGCAAGGTGTGGACACCCAGTGGAAATGAGATGAACTGCTGACTGTGAAAGTGTTGTCACTGTTAGAGTGATCACTGCTGATGGAAGGTTGAGACAGACTCAAGTCATCACTGCTGCACTGTTGCTATTTTCCAGTATCTTAGTGTTGATCACTAAGAAACTCTTAAGCTTCTTAAAAGCCATCCTCCCTGCTCCAAACAGTTTTCACCTTAGGAGCTCCTTAAAGAGCTAAGATGCTTTGTGAATAATTTTTATCTTTACAAGGACCTAGCCTTAACTTTAAGAGGAAATTTTAAGAATTTTCTTAGATTTTCGTCACTAGAAACAACTCTTAGCACCAGGAAGCTTTGTGAATATGGCCACTGGTGTCTTCAGTAAAGGCTTTGCACACCCCCACAGGTGTTTCCAATTATTCTGGCTGATTAGACCTCAGCAGGGTGAAGCTTGGAATTGCATGAAGTCCGAGGACTCAGTCTATCTACCATTAAGGATTAAAAAAGGGGAAAGTTGTCCTGCCCTAGCAGCAGAAGGAGGGAGATGTCAATCAAGCATTCTTTCACCTGAAGAGACCTAATCAGGTAAACTGATTAAAATCACCTGTGTGTTAACAATCACCACATCTCTCTGATTTCACCCTCATCATGTGAAGCATCATAGGAAATGGTTTTGCACTCAAATACTGCAGATTACAGAAAAAAAAAAACACATGAGTGCTTTTCTGCCACTGTCAGATTTGAAGTTCTTTTGGATTTCTTATGTTAAGTTGCTTCTGACAGTGTGCAGAAAGAACAGACGTGTACTTTTGTGGACATACTCTTCCACAGGATGTAGGAAGTTCAAGTTCAGGACTATAGAATATGCTTGATTATTTGGGGAGCACAAAAGAAACAAAAACAGCCCCCGACAAATAATAAGTCACAGATAAGTCAGACCTCTGTGCACTCCACTGACATCCTTCATTCTCTCCCGGTGATTTTGAAGATCTCTTTTCGCAGAGAAACATTAAAATGCAAAAAGGCTGGAGAGAGGAACCTCAGAATGAGAAGTCGGGAGTCTGGAGAGGTTTATGGATATTTGAAGTCTTTCCCTATTAAGAATTTCTCACTGCGTATGAAAAATGACTTATCTATTCTGAGTCACTTTCACATCATGAAATGGGTGAACAGTGCAGAGGGACAGATGCTATATTGCTGTTCATTAAATAGCGCTCACGACTTGCTCAAAATGAGAGGCTGCACATTAAACTGAAATTGCAGCCTTCATTGTTGATGACAGAACTCTTGTTGTATTGATGCTTATGTAAGCCTTGTAAATAGATTATAGATCACTGTGTCATTCAGACAAGTTGTTGAGTTATGAGTGTGAATAAGAGGTCATGCAAAGTGCAAAAAAAAAAATCATTTCTGTCAGTATTTTTAGTTTGAAATCCTGCAGGATTATCTCAATATTCCACTTTTTGCCAGCATCATACTGTGACTCACTCATGGTTTGTGTGCACTATCTGCCACTGTGCTAACTAAACACACAACATGGATAATATTGTCAGTATTCAAGGCATCACGCAGCACAGGCGGGACACAGACTGAGGGTCGCTAAACGCCAGCAGCTCTCCTCGGGTGCTGGCGTTTAGCGACCCTATTGAACACAAGCAGTCAATAAGACGTGCTCTTTTCTCTTCTTTGCACAGTTAAGTTCAGCGCCTTTATCCACCTAAACCTCAGAAGGGCTTTTGAGATTGTCGTGCGTATTTACGCAGCGCCAAAAGAAACAATAAACCATGCACTGTTTGCAGAAAATGTTTTCTTCAAGTTTAAAAACGATGATTCCTTACATGATTTACTATGTGAAACGTGTGTGCTGTGTTGCAGCGCCCTTACAGTGAAGCATACTTCACCAAAATGCAACTAATTGCCTCTTTACGCAGCATTCTACAACCGGAGATATGACAGGAATTCAGTGCAACTCCGTTTCATGTCAGTTAATGGCATTCGTGCTCCACTGTAAGAGCGCAAAAGGAGCTGGTCAATAAATTATGTTAATCAGTCAGGACAGATTGGAGGCGTGTTGTTGCCGTAATGAGGGGGAGCATGCCTGCACCGTGGTAAAGCTCCGAGCGCTAATGCTGTCTCCACTACATGCGCGCTGCCTTCGTTTTCCCCAGCCTCTCTTCCTACTTTATTGTGTATTATAGCAATTTCCTCTGCAGCAGCAGCAGCAGCAGCAGACTACTGTGCAAAAGAGGCTCGGTGCAACAAGTTTTGCAGGAGCCGTCGGCACAGGTTGGGCTCGCTTTGGCTGGAGCGCCACTCATCTATCTGTCGCTGTCACCACCAAAGTCACTGTACGTGAACGCCGCGTCGCAGGCGCACTCTCTCCAGACACACTCTCACACACACACACACACGCAGAACAGTGTGCCATATATTCGTGACTCCGCGCCAGATGCAGTTTGCTCCCAACAAGCGCGCGTAGTTGTAGTTAAATGGAGATCGCGGAGGCAAGAGGAGCATCTAAGTGCGTGGAAAAAATGGAGAAAGAAGTGGCGCCTCAGAAGCGACAGTATTGCCGCACGACAGTGCTGAACATTATCTCGTCTTTATGCTCAGTGGCGTCCATCGCCTTTTGCATTCTTCTGAGCATTAACACAGCTGATATCAAGAGCCGGGTTGTGGATTTGGAGAGTGGGAATGACGAGCACACCTTTATCCATGCCCCTGGCTACTCCATGGATGATTTTAATTCATTGATTGAGCAAAGAGTGGATGAGCTGCTCTCTCAGGTAAGACTGACTCTTGCACTTGTTCTTGTTAATTGTTTATTGTTGTTGTTTAATTCCACCAAATACTTTAATTTCATTGAAATGTGAGCATATGAATAAACATGGCATTCTTTTGAAATTTCAGCGCTCCTATGAAAATTTTGTCAAGATTCGGACTGCCAGACAAACCTCACCTGAATGCAGCTGCCCTCCAGGTAAATAAAACTTCTTTCCTCCCAGTGCATTCTGGACATGTTTGTCTGCTGGTGTGTGAGACGCTGCATCTGAAGCCTGTTTGTGTTTGACTCACACAGCAGAGTTAATGTAAGAATGAATGGAAGTTTCTTTCATTGAAACCGATGACACATGACAGTTTGCCTGGACAGTGTTGATAGTTTGGGGAGGTTCTGCTGTGAGGGATGCAGACAGCTGACTGGCCATTACACTTAACAGAAAGAGAGGTATTTAACAGCACCCTATACATAGAAGTGCTGAGAGGTTGTTTGACTTGTGATGTTGTCTGCTCACACTTGTCCACTTGGAAACAGAAATGCTGAAATTCACATCTCTCACCAGTAGATGGAAACATTTATTCCTTCAGTGTGGCGCGGCATTCTGATCATTTTGGGATGGAGTCAAGGTTGGGTTTAGTCGGTGCATCCAGTGTTTGAGATGTTGCTCAAGGATGTTGGAGAGAATGCTGCACAATTTGAGCTGTAACATCACATTGTGTCAAAGCGTTTTCTATTGTGCATCATTTTCAAATATTACTGGGGGAAAACAGCCAGTGTTGCTCCTGAACATGTGACTGACAGCTCCTGTAAGAATGAGAAATTAAAGACATAATTTCAATGTATAAAAGAACCCTGCAGGTGTTTTCTGACAATATGGATGCAAATTGCACCTCACAAGCTTGTATTTAATTCTGATGTAAAGTCGATGTTTGTGCAGTTGAAATTTCAATGAGGCTATGAAGAATGTTTTGCTGCTGTTGTTATACATCAGCTAAGGGCTATGGACATAACATAGTCTGTATTTATTATATTCATTTCCGCCAGACATAAGCCTTGAGGGGATCATGTGTGTGGTCGTGCATTAGTGAGTGTGTGTATCTGTTTGGCTGCAGCTAATCTCACAAACTACTGGGCCAATCAGCCTTATATTTTGTGGGGACATGCATGACTATATGCTCAATGAGCTCGCATAATGTGTTTGACAGTTCTATACCGTCAGTGACTGCTGTCACCAGAGCATCTGCAGATTAATTCCATAACCACATTTTTGTTTGCAATCTTGACTGTAAGGGAGCTAGGAGATGATGCTCTTTGTGGTCCACCTTGGACCCAATTTTGTTCTGTCCTCTGCATGACGTCATACTAAACTGGGAGAGTTTCAGAAGCAGAGTGTTTCAGGGTGCTTTCAGAGCTAGAGTTATCTTGCTTTGGTCCCAATCGGGGACTACTTTTGTTACAAAGTTGCATAATTGCCCAGAGTTGGTTTGTGTTCTCACGGCAGCTTTTACGAGCGGACCAGATCAAATGCCTTGAAAGCTGCTCTTGATTGGTCAGAATTTCCATGCGGGATAAATCCAGGAAGTAAACAAAACGTTGAAGGAGAGTACACTTGCAAAATAAATGAGACACTTTCTAATATCACAATGGAGGGACAACTACGCAGGTTGATTTTAGCACTGCTCATCGTGGACTATATTGCTGTCATTGTTCATTTTAGTCAAGCCATACAGTTTGAAAGCGAGGTGCGGCTCCAACTGGAAAACAATGTTTTGATGCATTGGATGTGCTGAATGTGCATATTAAGGCAGTACAGGAGGAGGTGCACATTAATAATCCTCCAGGACTGTAACATGCTTATGTTTAACACAAACAGTTGGTTCGGATTGAGGTTGGAACATGTTCTCACCACAAACGAACCGCACCAGAGTTCATTTGTAACCGGACCGAGACCACCTCTTCAAGAAAGTCTCTGTCCGGTTGTTTTGGTGCACACCCGTGTGATTGCTGTGTTCACACCTGCTCAAACAAACCGCACTCAGGGGGCAAACAAACTTGAGTTTGATTGAACCGAACCAAACAGGGCAGGTGTGAAAGCACCCTTAGGTGTCCTATTGTGTAGGTTTGGTTATTTTTCCTTTATGTTTGTGCTCCTAACATCAGTTAGTAAGTAGGCTATCTAGGTCTTTTTGTTCCATTTTAATTGTGTTTATTGATGTCCTACTTTTTTGTGCTGTTGCATAGACAAAGCTAACGCCCTTAAAAGGCTTGTCATGCCACGACTCCTTAAAGAATGGACAAGGCGCATACTGTTCTTAGCTTCTGGGAGCTTCTGGAACGTGTCCGCTGGAATAACAAGAAAAGTCTACAGTGGCCGCGAACAACTCGGGCGGCCGCTTGGCCACATGGCGGCAATCTGCACCCTACTGAGTGCACTTTAATAGTGTATAGCATGTTTGTTTTTTTGTGTAGGCCAAAAGACTAGCATATAGTCCCTACTGAAAGAAAACCACACATTCTGTGTCTAAAGATAAGATAAATCCACCATTTAAAAACCAACTGGTGTAAGTGAAAAATGCATTGCTACAAAGCTGAAAACAGGGATGGATTTATTAGCTCATAAAAGTTGAAATTTTTGAGATACATGGTTTTCTGGGCCAGCAAGGATATGTGGATTTCTTGAAGTATTCTTCAAAAAAGCCCACAAGGTCACTGACTATCATCTGTTTTCAGAAAATAAAAGCTTTGTCAAACAGGATCCTCTAAATTTGGATAAAAGGAGTCCTTGAAATCAGATTGAAGCGCACATCTTTCATTTGTAAATAGCATGTCACTGTACATGGGTATAACACATGTGCTCTCAGTGAGGCACATGTGAACATTGCGCTTGTTTCTGGTAGACTGCTGTCTGTGTGACTGCACCGTTGAGCCCCGCGCTGCAGGAAGCTGACATGTTTTCACAACTTTTTAAAGTTTTATGCGGAGGGATCTGTCTGCATCCCAGCCTCAGACAACTCCAGCTGGGAATGTAATACAGTATGTGTGAACATACTGTCGGCGACCTCTCCAGGAAGGTCAGCGGTGTGACATTGTGCAGAGGAGCCTCGTGGCTGGATCTTTCGGACGGACAATACAGGTGTCGGAAAGCATCTGTGCTGCAGCACTGAAGTGTCCTTGGGCAGGATGCTGAATCCTGACTCATGCCAGGCACTGTTCTGTTTTTCACTCTGACCCCTCTGCTGGGGCAAACATACCAGATCCATACAACAACACAATAAAAGGATCATTATCATAATCAGCCAGAGGTGAAAGAAGAAACAAGAGTGGTGAAAGTAATAATCCCAAATGAAAGAGCCACGTTTTTTTAGTTTTCACAAGTGGTTTATCAATTGCGAATGAGTCATCTGCTGAGTGGAAATGCCTGAATTAATGAGCCACAAGTACTGGAAGTATTAACCATAATGAGACTCTCACAATCACGCTGCTCTCTGTTCTCAATCCCTATCATATGTCTGCTATTTATTTTCTCCCACCACATCTCTGCAAAGGGCAGAAATAAAACAATGAAAACATTTCACATCAAATGAAGCGCGACGACGCTAAAACCAAGGCGGCACCGAGCTCCATCTTGGAAACTGGCACTCTCAAATGTGATTACATTTTTTTTTTCATGTCCAGTATTTGTCCTTTTTTGATTTTTAAATTACGATTACGTAAAAACATATATCATCGGTACACTTTGAAGAAACTGTAGTGTGTTTTAATATTGTAACAATCATGCAGTAGTGTACTACACATGCAACTCCTAACATACTGAGGCCAAATATCTTCATATGAATGCTGAATGGGTTCACTCAATATTTATCCTCTGTTCTGTGTGGGAGACGGCCCGTGGCTCAGATGTGGCTTCTTTTTTCTTTGAGGGCAGGGCCGTAATGTGCTTTTCACAGTCTTCACTTTATTGCTGTCAAAGAAGATGGAGTGGTTGCAAAGACAGAGCAATGGTCCATAGCTTTGGGATAGTTTATAGGTTGTTTCTGAATCATAGGAAGTTTGTACCATCTTTATCAGTGAGAGTCTGTCATGGAGTTGAAGTATATTTTATTCATGCTGGTGTAACTCTTGGGGGTGATTTATCATTCTAACAGTGTCTGGTATTGCTGTCATTTAGCACTCAGTTATTAGCTTCTGAGTGACTAAAAGCATTTTCACGCTTTGGCTGTAATTGGGTCTGAACCTGAGATTGTTTTTGGCGAGCATCATGGCTCTGGGGATGGCAATGTGTGTTGGGCGGTCAACCAATTTGGTCTAGACTGAAATATCTCAACAACTATTGGATGGATGGTTGTGAAATTTTGCACAGACGCTCACTGTGCTCAGGGGATGAATGCATCTGATCTGATCTGAATGATTCTGATGATCCAATAACTATAATATTGACTTTTTTTGTTTTTTGTTTTTTTTTAAAAAAAAAAAGCTCTGCAAAGTCTGATAAATTCGCCAGTTGTAGCTAGAACGGAAGAAATCTGGGGGTGTGGAGCTGAAAGGAAGTGAGCTTAAGGGCCCTGAAACACCGCGTTAGGCAGTTGGTCAATATCGGGCAGTTGCTGAGCTTCTGTTGCCCCAGTTTTTGTGGTGTTTCCCACGTTGTTGGCACTAGTTGACACTCGCTTGCTGAGCCTGTTGGTGAATGGTATCACTCTGATTATCAGTTCAGATCAGTTTACGAGAAGAGAAGCGGAAGTGATGAAAGCAAACAAGCGACATAAGTCAAGAGAGTGTGAGATCGAAACAAACTTCTTGTATGTGGTAAGACTATGTTTTAGCCTTTGAGCTCTTCAGCAGAAATGGTTCATAATCGTTTGTGTTATTTACTAGCGCACGGTAAATATCACTTGGTTTTTCAACAGCAGGTTGTGCTAATGTGCTAACTGGCTAATTAGCATCTTGAATTCACCCTGTGGGTCTTCCTGTTTCCCTTTTTGAATGAAGAATACAAACTGGTATGGACGCAGGCGTAGAACATACATGCTAGTTGGCTGTTGGCTGTCATCTTTGCGGTGCGTTCAAGTGCAACTTTTTGGCCGAGACACAGGCAACGTGAGACAACGCAACAGTCGGCCTTCGTGGCCACTAGTTCTTTGATGTCAGTTTGGTGTGTCTGGGCCCTCTGTAGGCTGCTCTTCATCTCCGCTTGAGGCTAG